CAAAACATTTGCAGCTAAATACCTTAAGCCTACAGTCCTGTTAATTGGTATACACCCTACTGCTAATATGGCACAACTTCCATCTCTATTCACACGAAAACAAGTTTGTACCGTTGAATTCACTTATGCTAACATTAACCATACTATTAGAACTCTCAAAACTCTAAAGGTTTAGGCACTGACGTTATATCACTCTATTTTTATAAATAAAGTGGGCCTGACACTCCCTAACTACTGCTTTAAATCTTCGCAATGTCTTTATAAACCCAAACTTACCCGGATATATGGAAAACAACATTTATTATGCCTAAACACAAATTTGGCTCGAAAACAGAAGTCAACAACGACAGGCCAGCCAATATCACACCTATAGCATCTAGAATTATGGAGAGATCAGTTAAAGATAACCTACTCAACCATATGCTTAGCTGCAACATTGTAAGTCCGAACCAGCATGGATTCCTAAAATCCAGATCATGTTTAACATGCCACCTGGTTTTCTTTAATTTTATAACCAGCACTCGTGACATCTACTACTTGTCATCTACTTTGACATTTCCAAGGCGGTTGATTGTGTCGACCATTTACTGCTAGTACATAAGCTGAACTCCTTAGGAATACTTGACCCACTATTAGGATGGCTTAAATCATTCCTTAACTGAAGGTCCCAAATAGTTAAACTTGGGTGTGTAACTTCCAAACCTAGACCAATCACTTCTGGTGTAGTACAAGGTAGTGTCATCGGGACCCTCCTATTTACACCTTATATCAGTGACATATTCATTTGCTTCTCACATGGTAAACCATTCATCTTTGTAGGTGACCTAAAATTAGGTAATACTTTCCAATGTGATGACCTAGAATACTTCCAGAATGTTGTGCAGAATGAAGTAGATGAAGTGACTGCTTGGTCGTCTTTGTGGAATCTACAATTTAGGCTGAAGAAATGTGGTGGGATCTGCTTCGGCGCACCCTCAATCGACATGAAATTAACGCTTCAGTCTGCAAACCTGACCAGACTCCGAGGCCAGGCTCTCAGGATGCGTACTCAGGAACTTTCACGACAATGAAGCCATGTATATGGCCACTACTAGAATACTGTCGAATTATTATTAGCAGCACCCGCATATCTGACAAGCTGATGGTGGAAAGTATCCAACGATATTTCAAATCCAAACTACTTGGCTACGATTGTAAGAAAGACTACATCTCACGGTGCATGATTCTAAATCTTGACCCACATTGGAGGAAACGACTTGTTATAAACCCAAAATTCCTCCTTAAGGTTCTACACAAAATATCATTCTCAGACAATAAGGACATACAATTCTCACCGGGAGGCTCTTACGCACTGCGTAGCAAAACTTGCACAGTGACAATAAAAGCCTTTAAATCAAAACTCAGCGAAAACTTCTTCACAGTCATGCATCCTAAATTAGGGAACAGCCTGCCTCTAGAAGTCATAACTTTCACCTCGGTTATAGGTTTCAAACGCTCTCTGTGCAGACTGTCTCACTCTACTGATTACATTAACAAACTATTTATTCCTAGAGTGAATCAGTTATTAGTTTACTACAGTACCCAAAACGAGCATAAATTCCCTAATTACTCTATAAACGATACATAAACTAGTCGCATAGGTGCATAAAAAGACTAAGTAGAAATAAATATGTGTTTACTAGATGGCAATGTACATTGAATATAAACATATATGTGCAAACATTAATTATCTATTCTAGTCCACATACTTTTTCTTTTCTCTCTGGTACTTTGCTGCTCGCCTCTTCTCTTCTATTTGCCTTGTATTAGAAGTTGCACAAATCTACAGCTAGACTGAAGCTGGGCAAGAATCGAAGTCACTTACTAATGTATCATCTTTCAAGGTTTTGGCCAGTGATGACTCAGCATCCTTGAAAAATCCACCGTCACCATGACGGGACGCTGTACAGCATCCTATACAAGCTGTATCCATGATCTAAAATGGCTTACAAATAACTTTCTACGTGTTGGTCAACTTACCAGTGCGGAATAACTATGCAGCGACAAATAACCAATGTTAATCTGCATTCAGTACAATTCACTTCTGGTGTTGCTTACGATAAAAATTCTGACAAAATTGTACAAACAAATCACTTATTTTGAATTAATACCCAATTTGAATATAAATCAAAAACGAGATACGATGCCGCACACAACAAAGTTATATGGAGGAATTGGCTTCAAGCTTTATTTTTCCCCCGAGTATCTCTAATCCATCCAACATATACTTTGGTGTTTTTCGTTAGTGGGAAGACAAGATTTCTATATTCCTAATGTGCTGCATTGAAAGACTGGGTAGCAGATTGCACCCACAAACTGTAGTCAAAATACCTGCAACCACATAATTTCACCACAAGTCAAATTTATGCAATTTCAATAATCCTTATCCATGCCTATAAAACTGGCGTGTCCTATATAGAAAAGAATAAATATATTATCATTGAATGCCATCTGCCTTTCAAATCGTTTGGTAATATATTGAATTGCTGATAACTTCGGCTGTACTACAGACAGTTCTAGTTCATGTATTTGGATCTAGCATATTAGGCACCAACAATCATATGTGCCACTTACCCTTTGGAGGTTTCTGACTGCTTTCCAGTTTCTTTATGTTCCCAAGAATACATACAAGCACAGTAAGTTTGTACTTCTAATGTGGCTGGTCCTAATTTAATTTAAATTCTCTCACAACATATCAGGTGTTTGCTAACTGATAATAAACACAGTGATGTCAAAAAGCTTCAAAGCTTTTCAACTTCATCCCAGGTTCTAAATTCTTCAGGCTTAAACTGATCCTTGAAATCTTTGCTAATAGAAATTTTGATCGTGCTCTCTTCAACAGATTGACTCGTAGATTATTACGTGCTGTAAATATGAACATGAAAAAATTGCTTTTTTCCAGATCTCTACATATTAAGTAATTAATTGAGTAAGCAGCAATAATGGCAACCAACAAATGAACTGGAAACAACAGCTTCTGCGACCCGAACATGTTCATGAATTCCAAAACTTCTACACAGCACTATTTCATTAACAGCTGAAAAGCAAATAAAACACTGTAAACACGCATGAATGCAACGCATGAAACAATTACAATGAAATGAACTGACCTGGTGGTAAAAACTTTCAAAACCAACGAAATCACTAATTTTGAGAGCAACGGAAATAAAAATGAGGTGAGACGCAACATTTGTGAACAATGCGCATCAAGATAAGTTGTGAATAACTGAAGGACAAATGTGAAAACTAGTGCGTAAACGAAGAGTTAGGGAACTGCAATCCAACATGGCCAACTAACATGGACTGAATTGACCTTCAAGTGTTGTACTTCTCCAGTGACCTTGAGAACGAGGGATAATTTCAGTCCTGATGTCCCTAGCCAACGACCAGCATGCACTCAAGGACACTGGATCGTTCGAACCCCAGGGACTAAAACTCTTGCCAGAATTCTGAACTAATTGTAGCCTATGCTTCGATAATGCCTTTTTATGGTAAATAAATATTTAATCTATCTAACATCAACCCACTTTGTACTGAAATAACACTGGTCGCTTTTAGAAGGGGCATTTGACGCTTAATTAATGCGACAAAACCTTAAAAGTAGGATTTGCAGTTGAATAATGTCTAAGTGTTGAAGTAAAGCTGAAAAACTGCCAATATGTGCTGAATAAAGCCTTCTCGTTCCTAAGAAATGCCAGTCAGTGCTGAATCTAGCCTGTTAGTGCTGAAAAAACGCTAATTAGCAAACTTAGTAGTTCCTGATCTATTTCGACTGGACTTATCCGGCATGTTGGTTGAAATTTCACTCGGCAAATCTTGTTTGTCAATAATTTTAAATGAAAGTGTGTTTTATGTTTTCCGGATTGATAGGAATTCTCATTTCCTGGCAAGTTATGTTGGTATCCGCGCCATGTAATCTGGCCGTGACACACTCTAAGCATATTGGTTGTAATGATTAGTGTTTCGTGCTGAATGAGTCAAAACATCGCTATAATGAAGAAGATGGAGTAGTTGGAGGGTAATGTCTTCTAAACAAATAGTTTACTTCTTGTAGAAGCTGCAGCTTTCCACATAGTGTCATTCAATGTAGACCACGTCAAAATGTGGCTATTTTCGTGTGAAGAACAGTACTATTTGACAAAAGAATGCTATCAGCACATGGAAATCTATTTCTGAATTTGCCTGGGTAAAGTACACGGTGTTGAATAAGTGCCAGTCATGCTAAAAGCCAACAGTGAGTTCCAATCTCTGCTCTTAATCATACCATTTCAGAATTTACTCACTGTGGAATGTTAGAGTTAATCCAGAATTAGCGAGTTTAAATTCAGCATTATGGAAAGCTTGTAGTGGACCTAGCAGCTAAGTAAGTCTATACACACAATTAGAAGGACAGAACAGGTACTAACAGATACGTATATATAAGATATTCAGTTCACTTAAGTTAATATACACAAAAAAGACTGAGGTTATTTGAAGAAAAACTTTAATAGTCACAAAATACACAAATTATAGACGTACGAAATTAATTGTCCTTTTCTTGAGTATACAAATCCTCCACTACACCTTAGAGCTGTTGACCGTCGGAAGTCTCCACGTAGAGTAAAGCAGATAGGAGCAAAGCTCTTGATGGGGATGTGTCAACCATTGCGAGGCAGAGTTGGTCGGCAGATGTGCTGAGCGAGCAGCCAGAGAGAGAGCAACCGATTTTCTCCTTGCGCGCGGTTCGAGGTTCAAGGTTGAATTCCTTATTTTTCCGCGTACATATAATTTGATATGTTTTTAAGCCGCCACAAGCTTGAATGTCATTCCTTAACTTTACCCATATCACATCTATAAAATTTACGCGTATATTAACTTGCCCCCCAAGCTGAAACATACGATGTCCATCTGATTTTATTATTAATATTATTGCATAGCATTCCACAGTAACGCAGTATACGTATTAGCCGCAAAACTGACGCCAACGAAAACCTACCAATCACAATGTAGAAAAGTGACCTTCAAGTACTCCTCTCCATAATTGATTTGTGCCAGCACCATTTATCACAAGCTGCCGCACACTTGAAAGTTACCATCTTCGTGAGTACACAGTGTCTGTAAATAGACTAATTTTTCAGTATACTTAATGAGTCGCCACTAACCTTGATGTCTCTGTTATGAAATACCAAACACTTCATTTAAATAATCATGTTAGGCTTATTTGTTGTAAAGACGCCTGGAATCCATTTGTTGACACAAATACACCCTTTCTGTTTTCAGCTAACATCAGTTTTAACAGCTCTTCGTCACATCATGCTAAGCCTTTAAACGAAATAAATGACAACAAACCATCAACTAAAGTCAGACCATGCCAGTCAAATATTTTGAGATTACTTGAATGCATTTAACAATTATCTGTTATGATGCAGCGACAATGAGATTTGACCTAAGACGATACAAGTCAACATTCTATCGATGCTTTAAAAAGTACAGTCTGGAATGGAAGAAGCAGTTGGCAGTTAACTTTATAGTATCATCTCAATGTACGCAGAATCCCTTGCGAATTCCCGTCGAGCACAATTAGAATCACGTTACGAGTCCTCTAAGTCAGGACTCAAAGCAAGTCATGGACGTTGTATACCATGTTATCATCCCAAAATAAAGATTTAAAGTTCCCTACAAATTTCACCAACACATTCTTTGCATCATTTAGGTGATACAAATAATGCTTCGGATGACCTAAAATATAACAAGCTAGGAATATATGAAAAAATTGTAAGATTTAATAGTGTGAAATATTTCCATATCACGAATAAAAAGTCAATCTGAACGAAGAATATTCTTTTCAATAATTTCTCTTCAGGTTCTTACAATTATAAAATGTAATATTTTTTGTCGTTACAATAATGTCATAGAAACAAGGAGGTAAAATGTCTTTCAAGTAAACTACTCCTGAATATAAAAGAAGTAGTCTGCATTCAGTAGCTTTCCAGCGGTCGACTTCATTTAAGGTTTGATACTTACGTTGGAATTCACAGGTTGTCAAATTATGTGAGCTAAGTAATCGTGAATTAACAGTATTTTAAGGTGGTATTATTCATACCATCTCGCCTGCCTGTGGCCATCACGTTCCACAAGCCGATCAACTTTCAGACCACTCCTAAGTATATGAGTTGCATACCGTCTAGTGGAATAGCAGCTATTATGTCTACATACAATCTCTCGAGAGGAGATTTACCTTTATGGTGACCTGACTACGTTTGCCTTCGGTAACCGGCGTCTGTCCTCAAAGCGGCACATGAAGTTGGAGAAACCATGCGATTATCTACACGACGGCATATAACCTCGCACTTATCGCATCCTTGGGTTGAATTGCAACCGGTTATTTGCTTAATTAATGATCTGGCACGTTTATCACAGATAACGCCGTTGAGTACTATGTCTATGCGGTGGCTGTTGGGTAATATAGAACTGTTCTTACATATAAATTCTAACTCTACAATAGTATCCCTTGAAAAACTTGATTACTTACAGATTAACATGGACCACAGTATATACCTACCAAAAACACTTTGACATATTCAGACAGCAGCAGCTTCGCTTGAATAGGTCACATCTGTAAGTTCAAATTGTTGAAAAGTTGAGTACCATTAATGTTTAGCTGCAGATCCACTGGCATTGGGACTTCCTCTTTGACTATTTGTAGGCGACATTCAGTCTAACGAAGAAGGTCAATGTCCCGAGACCAATTTTCCTCCTTTGAACAACTTCATTCCTCATCAATGTTTGAGGGTCAGTCGGTAGGTCAGGAAGCACATGCTTCATATCTTCAAGCATAATACGCGTATTCGCCATACTAAGCTTGCATCTGTCGACAATGTTGCGAATGACATCCAGTTCAGCATGCTCGTTCCTGTCACAGCCCGTATCTCTTCTTGGTTTCTTAGTCCTAGAGTAGGTTGGACCGTCAACCTAAAGAGTAGGGACAGTGGAGTGCGAAAGCACCAGTGACATTGGATGCATACACCTCTTTGGGTTACAGAACTTGCCGTTATCACAGCGTTACTACGAACGTTGTGCACGAATTGATGTGCAAATTTCATTTTAATTTTTTTTTTAAGTACTGTTTTGACTATGGTTTGATAGCATGTTGTGGTTAGGGTGGTTAACTACTATCTGTATTTTTCTTGTAAATAAATGATTGGGAGAGTGTTTCGTTGATATATATATGAAACCGTTTTTGATAGCTATGGAACTTGTAAACTGATACCCTTCATTTTAGTTGGGACGTATTTTTCAGCTACGTCAGGATAAGAGGTCATTTTTAATGTTTCATTGTTATTAGGCTAATTTTCCTGGTAAATAAACGGGTTTCTGATGTAGAATACACGACAGGTTTTTTAATCCAACGAATAGCATACTTTCGGCGTCATTGGTGCGTTCGCACTCCGTGCTCGCTATTCTCTATATTTGTTGTTTTGACAGTAGGCGCTGTTGCATGAATGAATAACGGTTTTGTGGTACCAGTAAAATGCAAACCTTTTTGTAACAGTGAGGTTTTATTTTCAGGTAGTACTTCGTCTGACGTGTGAATAGATTTAACACGCGTTAGTTTAAGTTATGCGCTGACAGCTCATTAAGTGGTTGCAATCCATTTCCTCATAAAAAGCATGAATTTTATGCTACAAATCAATTTGCGTGTATGCCCCCTGTTCAACGGTCTTGTGTTTGTAATTATTAGGTATCCTCACTAGTTTTTTTACATACCTTTAGGCGTATTATTGTTCGACTGTCTTTAAAGCACTCTCTGATTAAGGTATCATGCTGATCTTGAAAAGGAGTAATACTGATTATGCATCGGCTCCAGAATGATTAAATTTGGGCAATGATTTGCGTCGCGTAAGTCATTGTAGAAAGGAGGCTACCAGTGTTTTGAATGAAATTCTCTCAACTTCATTGTTAGTTGCAAGCTGTCTAAAAGTTTTCGTATAGGACTCCAGACATATCCTGCCGTATCTGTGAAATCAGAGACAAAAGTAATTCCTGTGATCAATTCAATTTCATAAGAAACTAGATTTTCGACATGTGAAATGTGCTTCACTGAATGGGCTTTTACGTGAGCTGAGGCACTGATTTAGCCAGCCGGTTTGTAGTTAGTCAGTTTTGGGCTCGAGCATCACTTCTCCTACACCAACGTGAACACCAGATTGCATCACTGAGTACCTTTCATCAGCTGTTTCGCACTACCCCATGAATATGTGTGTAAGTGATTGTGAGTTACATTCTGTTTTGAATGGAAGTATAGTTCGTTGGCTCAAAAACACTGAACATTCAGCCTCCAGTGAGTTCAGGTTTCGAAACCCGCTTCACCCACTTTGGTCTAGGCAAAAGTTGTCACATACAAAATATAATCTGCAGCCTGTTTCATTAAAACCTACACTGAGTAGCTAAGTGGTATTGTAAAGAAGAAAAGACTGATGAGGCTCGAAGGCAAATGTTTATTAAAACAAACGCATTGTAGGTACATAAATTTGTTATACCTTATCATTTGCAAATTGGTGGAATCCTACGACATTCGATAGCTTATTGGATTCTGCAGAGTGTTGTAACGTTCTTCTCACAGTTCTCTTCTTCGATTGCTTTTCCAGTGGTCAAAACATATTGTCTATTTTCTGAATTCGTTTACTGGTATACGACTTATCTCTGATTATAAGCAGCACTCACCACAGTATTATTATTATTAATTATTATGAACTTAGTTTTTCCTTTTGTATAATTTCCTTCACTACTCAATAATACAAGAAATTTTCCTTGCCTTTCAGTTTCCGGTTATTTTAACAATAACTGGACATCAACATGTCAAATTCATTGAAATTGTTAAAAAGTATCAAAAATTGGAATATTTTAACTGGACTATGCATACGTCGACCTGCAGTTATTGCACCTGAATTCACACCTCTTGAAAAACAAATAGCTGAACTATACGAAAAAGTGGAATTTGAAAATAGTCATTTATCTGCACATGAATTACGCCATGAAACTGAAACAAAAAATATTGCTTTAGCTCTTTCAAAAGGCACCAATAATAATATCAAAGAAACTCTAATAACAGCTCGTGAAGCAGAATTAATGTGGGAAGCAGAGGCGGAAAAGTTTAAACCAGCAGATCGACTAACAGGTATTACTTTTCAATATCGAAATTATTTTATTGCCAGTCTTATTGCAAATTGACAAAAAGTGGGAATAAGACTTCTGATATCTAAATGCTTAATAAAAGGTAATCCTGTTAATTTATCCAAGAGTGAAGCTGTGGCTTATTCGCATAAGTTCAGCACATCGCTTTCAGCCTTCTAAGTCTAGGGTTAGGATCATGCTCCACCTATTTCAGCCTAGACTAATAGGTTCCGCCGTCTGTAAGGTCACAAAAGCTATCTGCAATTTGAAACGAGGCAAAGCGGAAGGATCCCGACGGAATTATTCCAGAGGTGTTCATATATAGGGGTAACATACTAGTATGTAGATTAACTAAGGTACTAGTTAACGTCTGGGAATCAGAGACGGTTCCACCAGACTGGGGTAAGTCACTTATTATACCAATATTCAAGAAGGGAGACAAGTCCTCATGTGATAATCATAGGGGATCAGCCTGACGAACATAGTTTCTAAAATCCTAGGCTCAGTAATCATGCACAGACTAAGCAGAACTCGGGAGGAACAAACTAGGGAAAATCAAGCGGGCTTTAGGCCAGGTAGAGGGTGCATAGACCATATCTTCACTCTCCGACAGATCCTAGAACATAGACACACTTTTAGGCGTCCAACAATTGCCATATTTCTTGACTTAAAGGCGGCCTTCGACCCCGTGGATCGAGAGGTACTATGGCAATGTTTGACTGTGAAGGGAGTGCCAAGAAAGTACATTGCACTAAACAAGGCACTCTACTCAAACTCACATAGCTGTGTAAGGGCTTATGGGGAATTGTCATCTGAATTGATAACAACCAGTGGTGTCCGTCAAGGATGTCCACTTTCCCCTTTTCTGTTTAACTTCATCATAGATATGCTAATGGAAGTATCCTTAACTGAACTTAATGACTTAGGAATCGACTTGTTACCAGGGTATAGTCTTATGGACTTAGAATATGCAGATGACATAGTCCTGTTAGGGGAGGATGCTGACAAAATGCAGAGTCTTCTGAACACCTTGAGCAGCAATCTTCGTATGTTTGGCATGCGATTCGCCCCTGTAAAATGTAAGATGCTGCTACACGACTGGACTACGTCAACTCCTAGCTTAGTGATAGGGAGTGAAGTGATAGGACATGTTGACCACTTCACCTATTTGGGAAGTTGTATCAGCACCAACGGATTGATTGGCCACGAAATCTCAGCACGGATCCAAAAAGCTCGGGCTGCTTTCGCTAACTTACACCATCTCTGGCGTAGGTGTGACATCCGGTTATCAACCAAGTGACGTGTATACTGCTCAGCAGTTCGCTCCGTCCTTCTCTATGGCTCTGAATCAGGGCCAATACGAGCTGAAGACATGAGAAGGTTGACTGTTTTTGATCATAGATGTCTACGATCTCTTTCTCACGTTAGGTGGCATAATAAGGTAAGTAATTCTGACATTAGGCGTAGAGTGTTGGGCAAAGAGGGAAAATCACTCGAAGAGGCTATAAAGTTACATAGATTGAGATGGCTAGGTAACGTGCTGCGCATGCCTAACCATCGCCTCCCCCGACGGGCATTACTAGCTGATATAGGTGCAGGTTGGAAAAGAGTAAGTGGTGGCCAAACAAAAACATGGCATCAATCCATGAAATCCTTGACAGTTGAACTGAGTCAGGTAGGGAGATGCAGACTTCCGGGTTGGGGCCCTCGGGACTCTAAGAATCAATGGCTGGAGACAATAGGTGACATGGCTCAAAATCGTTGTCAATGGCTTACGCAGATGTATTCAGTCTCTGTAATCTTTCATATTCCTTTCTACCATTATTCATTCTGTTTCACTCTTATACTTGTCAAAACTCTATTGATTCTCTTCACTCACTTTCTTGTCTACCTTTGTGTGCTATTCGGAACGTGGCAACTCGAACTGCTGCACTTCGGTGCCAAGTTCTATGTTGAACTCAGAGAGACAGACCAATAGGTATCATAAGTCTTCACAACTAATGTGGCTGATGGTTGGGGTACATGAAAACCTGTTCTGAGTAACTGTGTTCTATTGGCTTTGGAGAGATAAGTCTCTGAGAATAAAAGTATATTCATGAATTATCATCATCCAGGCATTCATGAAATGAACAAAATTAGGTAGTTCAGCAAAGAGGCTTTTTTTCGGTGAATTCATTTTCTTTAACTATACATTCGCATTTATGTACAATTGTTTCGTGAAAGAGGATTATGACATACGTGAGGAGTTGTCATAATCGTAGTCGTTAATACCAATTAATGCGTAAGAGAAGTAGAATAGGGGTATTAGAGTTAAGTAATGAGGTAAATAATTTGATGAGTGAGTTGTAATCATGATGCACATAAAAGCGAAGCAAAGTGTGATATTAAGTAAGATTTCGAAAGAAATACAAGAGTTGTAAAGAGTTAAAAATAAACAAACAAAATCAACTTTCTGGAAAAAAGGCTATTACTGTGACAGTTAGTAGAAGTGGCTGAATAAATTTTTTTTCAATGCAGAGCTGCAGTTTATCTAACTGAAATGGCTGAGGTTTCACAGCAATTCAGAGGAGACGGACGCGTGTTATCTTTGGCAAATTGAACCTCTACGCTGAACTACTTGTTTTGCTCTTTTCACTAATAAAAGTATATATGTGTAACGGCAGAGGGAAAGAGACTTGTTAAAGGAATGTTTACTTGGAATTTGGTACCTCTCTATAGCGAGATTATGTACACCTTATCTGCAAATCGTCATTCGCACAGATCTTCCGTGTTCTGCTACTTCTGTCCTTCGTGTTGTGTTTCTTTTCGTGTCTCCTATGTTTGGCCGCAACGCTGAATCATTTTCTCTCTCTTTGACGTCAAATATTCTCTCCGTTATTTGATGTTTTTATGCCGACGAACGTCTCTTTATATACTACTGATACATCTCATCAGTAGCACACACCATACATACACGAATTTTCGCTAGGAAACATGAGCCACGCCTCTTACATAAGGGTTATTGACAACTCAAAGGTGGTTGAATCAAAGTAGACATTTTTTTAATGACTCAATTAAATGTAATTTCATCATCTAATTATTGCATGCATTAAGTACCATCCCTATATGTCTATTTTTAATCTTTCCTAGAGAATGACAAAAATGGAAATTTAAAATCTGCTTGGCGTGTATTGGATAGACCTTTATTTCTGTTAGTTCAATCCTCAAAAGACATTTACAATGGATGGAGTCTGCCAAGTGCACCAGTCGTCAATGGAAAGAATTTAAGACAGGTAAGCTTAAGCCTCATTTATCCTGAATGATGAAATAAAAACAACTGTTGTTTATGGCTGGTATGACTGAAACTGTTTATGTTTATAGATGATGATTAATCAAAGCTCCAATAAGTTATGTGTTATTTACATTAAAGTTGTTTGATAGATCGATACAGAAACATGCGAATGATCCAATAGATTACTAATAGTAAAATGTGGAGCTATGGTTGATTGGTGTAGGTGTCCCAACTTCCGGCCACACTAGTTCACGGGGTTAGAAGTTGGGTGTAGCATCACATTAGCCCATCACACACACAATAGGCGTGGCTAATTGCCCCAACTACATGAAGATAGAAGTGGTTGTTTAGTAACACTTTTTTTTCTTCTCCCACTAGCTAAATACTACTACTACTACTACAATCCACTAAGTTAAGTAGAGCATGATCTATTTTGAAAAAAGGAATTAGCTGATGTATCTTAACAGGAGTTGTGTAGAGAAAAAGACTGAACAATCAATCCAGCAGTATGCTAACGATGACTGAATATACTGAATTGTTCATGTGATTCAGTATCAGTATTATTCAGAAAAGTGTAATAATTAACTGCTAACTTAGCACATCTGTGACGGCTTGTCTGATTTAATCCAAAGCGAGAGATTGCCATTTATATCAGATAAAGTCGGTGGTGTTGATGTGACTGATTGGCTTAAAGAATGAACTTTGGACTATGCAGTATCAAGTTCGAATCCAGCTTCACTTAATTGAGCCTGAGGTAGTAAGTAAGTAATACTACCAGGTCTTTCAATAAATTTGACTGGCACATAAAAATGGGATAAAGTCGATGTTGAAATAATAGAGAAGATTTGTAGCTCAGGTAGATGATTTGCAGTTATTAGTGTTCTCTGAGCTGGTTAGTTTAGTTGTGGAGCTTTCGTTGTCCTTCTGGACAACATCTTCAGCGGAATTTTGAAAATAAAGTGAACCGATATAAATTTTCCATGAGTGATATAATTGCTTCTAGGAATTCTCTAGCACTTTTGGTGTTTCATCTGTCTAATATTTCGACATTATCCCAATCAAAGTGACGTCCATAATTATCTATATGCATTGATATAAAAGAATATATATCGTGCCTTTCCACGGATGATTTGTGTTCCCGGATTCTGATTCGAAGGGGACATCCACTTTGGCCGATGTAATGCCTGTTACAGTTCATACAATTTATTTTGTAAATGGTATTAATTTTATCCCCTTTTTCTTTTGAATCTTTCGGTTTGCATAATATCGAATCAAGTGATTTAACTGGCTTGTGTGCTATATGTATATCAAACGGTTTCAATATTCTAGCTGTTATTTCAGAGGTTTTTTTATGTGTGGTAGGATGAATTTTCTTGGGATCTTTAATGATGGTTCTTTGTTGGTGTTGTGATTCGATTTTAAACACTTTTTGATGAAATTTTGTGGATAACCATTCTTTTTGAAGACCGTTAGTAGGTATTTTTCTTCCATTCTTTTCAACTCTGGAGTGCTACAGTGTGTTTGTCCAGAAGGATGACGAAAGCTCCGCAACTAAACCAACCAGCTCAGAGAACACTCATAATTGTAAAGTCAGTGTGGTTTAGTAACACCAATTGAAAGGTATTTATATCAGAAAAGCAAGTGAAAGATGGGTAATATTTTTGATGGTCTACTCTACTGAAAATATACACTTCAGTAAATATTTTGATTTTAAGGAATTTGTTGCGCTTCGTTTTCATTGGTTACTTGATAGATGGATACCATGTTTTAATCTTCTTCCAGCCTTAATATGCATGCTGAGCAATACCTGACCACCAAAGTCAGATCTAGTCAAAGACACAGTATCGAATCATTTGCCTTACTGATAACACACTTGATCGACATATTTGGATTACAGCTTAGAACAGAATAGTTAAATTGGTTACCATTTTAGTAAACCTAGTGCTAAGATTTCAGAATTTATTGCGAAGCCATATGAATGCCAACAAGCCTAAAGATGACATTTATGCCTTCCTGTAGGGATTTTGTTTGATTGGTTGGAGGATTTCATCATGAGCTGACATCAGGTAGAGAACCATTGAAAAACCACCTAGGAGTACTTGGCAGTTGTTTTGTCCTAGCTTGAGACTCTCCATCGGCACGCACCCATTGTGAAGTGGTCGCACTATTTCATGAATTGGCAGAAGTTAGGATTCATGGGCCTATGAATCGGGTCTCAGTGGCTTAACGGTCTACGAGCTCGCCTTGTAACCAGAAGGTCCTGGGTTCGAACCCTGGTGGTGGAGTCCCAAACTAGGATGAAACAGTTATCCAGTACTCCCTGCAGGTTTTCCAATGGTTCCCTGACTGATGTCAACTGATGATGAAATTCTTCAACTAATCTAAGTTGAATAATTCCCATTCGGACATTAGTAGACAAAAGACAAGTAGTTCAGCAAAGAGTCTCTTTTCGGCGAATTCATTTTCAAAGCTGTACAATCGCAAATATATATGGTTATTTTGTGTGTGTGTGTGTATACATTAAATTTGTCAAACAAAATACGGTTAGTAAGTTCAAATGAATTGGATGTTGATAAGAGGATAGCAACAAAAATGATGAGTTGTCATAAATGATTGTTAAATAAGAGTTGCGTAATGGTATGAATAGTTTGATGAATGAGTTGTACTCAAGGGTTGTGCATGGAAACAAAATAATATATAGAATTACACAAGGGTTTTAAGTTAGAAAAAAATAAAAAAAATAAGCATACAAACAGAAGTAAAGTCAAGTCAAACAAACAAAGAAGAGTTGGGTCAAATCAACGGAGTTGTTACCATGCGAGTAGAAGTGGTTGGACGATTTTCTTTTGTATGCATAGTTCTGGTTCAGCCAACTGGATGGCTAGGGCTTCTGCGATGCAAAGAAGACGAAATCGTACTGTCTTTGGGAGGTTGTTCTTCACTTTGTAGATCACTTTAAAGGAGGCGTTCGTTGATATGGAATGACCAGTGTTGACTAGATGTTCGATTATTGCACTCCTTATATGGCCATTATTTCCTTTCTGTAGCCACGCTGGGTAGTGTTCTTTGACCCTTTTTGACAGGATGCGCGTTGAACGACCGATGTACCTGTCTCCACAGCAACAGGTGAACTGATATATACACATAGAAGTGGTCATGTGCGGAATCTTGTCTTTTGGGTTTCTGCAGATCAGCGGGCGACTGGAGAACACTATTCTTAGTGTTGCCGCAGGGAAAGTTCTTCCTAAAGAGGTGGAAATTCTCCTTCTGAGGACGTCACTAAGTAGGTCTCCTTTGAAATCTAGGTTCATATAAAGTATCTTTTTCGGCACGGATGAACATCCAATTCACCTAAACTTACTCCTCTTTAACAATCGTTTTGACAACTCATCACTTTTGTTGCTATCCTCTTATCAACATCCAATTCATTTGAACTTACTAACCGTATTTTGTTTGACAAATTTAATGTATACACACACACACACAAAATAACCATATATATTTGCGATTGTACAGCTTTGAAAATGAATTCGCCGAAAAGAGACTCTTTGCTGAACTACTTGTCTTTTGTCTACTAGTCTAAGTTGACTTACAAAAGTGTCTACTAGTAATCATTACCTTCAGAAAGATATCGGCTTTTGTTTTCACTCTTTTTAGACTGCAGATTTTATAGCGACTAGTTTATTACCCTCAAGAGCTAAATGGTCTATATTTGGTAATGCTCCAGTTGCTGTTTGGTTATCTCAAGATCAGAATGACAAAGATACAGGCACTCAGGTAAGTGGTGTATCCATTTTGAAGGTAGATCTGAGAGTTAAGGTCATAACCAAAAAGTATGACATAATAAACTATTTATGAATTTATTATAGAATTCTATAGCAAGCCAGGGTAGTAATAATGGCTGAACTTGTAAGTATTAATAGATTTCTCCAACTTTATAGACTTGTGAAAAATACGAGATGGTTCGTATCCTGTTGGTAGAAACATCAGTCGAATTCTCTGTCTAAACAGTACTCAAATAGACAACTGCACACATGGAATAGTAAAGCAGACTAATTTGCATAGCGTATTATATCATTCATTCATTTGTTTAAGATTGCGTTTCATTCATGTTGACTGACCGAGAAATATCGATTACTTACATACACTGTCCTGAAAATAATTTGGTGGATAGTGATTAGCAGCGGGACACATTTCTTCCTGTTTAGGACTTGTAATCTGGGTGTACCTGCACTCCCCAGTGAGTAGTGCTGGTGTTTCTACTGAGGCCTGAACTCAGTAGGCATCGTTTCAAACACCAAAATCGTTATTGACTGGACCATTTGGGCCACCTCTTTTACTTTAATTCAATTTTGATTTTCCCGTTGTTTGATTGGATCGAAATGTCTCCGTGGCCTAAGTGGTCTGGCGGATAACGCTTTGATGTTTTAAACGATTCGAGTCTGATGTGGGAACACTTTCACTTACTGGGAATGCAGGTACATTCAGACGAAGAGTCCCAAACAGGATGAAATGCGCATCCTAGATTCCACTGCTAGTCTTCATCGACTAAATTACTTCAAGTCAATACTTAAACAGCGTCGATGCATTCGTACAAGGAGCCAACTTGTCCACAGAGACCAAACATTTCGGTCCAATCAATCAACGGAAAAAATTAAATCGAATGAGAAACAAATGATCTCCTAAAGATAGATGTAAAGAACTAGTTTGCGTGCTCAATTGTCTTGTACCTCAGGTTTGATGCGGACGTAGTTTAGTAGTTAGTGATAGGCTTCACCAATAAGAGAATCAACCAGCTGTCAAACAATTTTTATGCTGATGAAATTTGTCATGATGTTTCACTTAGATGATGTCCAACACATTCACATTGGTTATGCATACCAAACCATCGCCTTCCCCATCCAACAATGTTAACTGACAGCGGATAAGATGAGGAGTTAGGATTGGTCAAACCAAAATGTGGCGTCAATCCATGAATTCTTTCACTGGTGATTTGAACCATGTAGATAGGTATAGGTGCGTCGGCGGTTCAGCAGTAGAACGCTCGCCAACCACTCAGGTGGTCCGGAGTTCGATTCCCGGCCACAGACGCACTCCTAGAACTTGCTAAGCCGGTAAAGAGGGAAGGTTGGGCGTGTGGCTAGCAACCTCACCTCGTAAAAATAAAACCACTGCTACAGAAACTCCAAGCCTCTAGCTTGAAGCCCTATATTCCACCGGGAACGTAAGGGAATAAAAAAGGTAGATAAAGATTGCCTGGCTGTGGTGATATGGGTCAATATAGTTTTCAATGGCGTAGATACATTCACTCTTTATGAACTCCTGGATACACTAAATCCTTTACATAATTATTCTTTCTCCAGTACATCTCCGTTTCTTTCTTTTTTTAAATGTACACTTTGTGCTCTATGAAGTGTGCCTGCTAAACTAACAGTTATTATCTCTTTACTATGCATAATGTTTACTTTTTATGACGTTCCTGATTGATTGAGTTTGTTGACTAGTACCGTCACCAGCGATATTTCCTGTCGAACACGTGTATAGATAGTAAAGATTATCTAAATGACTGTGTATAGTGCTGTTATCATTCTCAACACACTTTTCTTTTGCACATTTGACTGACTGAGTTTCTGCATGAAGCCCAATCCATGAAGCACAGAAGAGCAGAAAAAAGGGATTCAAAAGGATTGTAATAAGCAGAGAAATGGAGGAAGAAAGAACAGTGACATAGAGAAAGATTAGGGTTTAATGCATATGCGAAATCACCATTGGGAACGATTTTGAGCCATATCAGCAAATTGTCTCTAGCCGTTGGTTCATACAATCCTGAAGAACCCAACCAGTCTCTACACATCTCCACGTGCCTGACTCAATATAACTATCAAACATTTAAGTGAATTGAATCTTCACATAAAATATTCAGAACCAAATATTTAGAGCGAACACTTATTTCCAATAAATTCTTCTTCAGGCTCTACATTTATAAATCCATTAATTTAAGCATTCAACAGCCAGCCAGTAAAGGCAGATTAGAATCATATCAGAAAGTGTATTGTGGAACAAGTATAAGATGGGATGGAACAATAGTCAGATAGTTTTTTTAATATGCATGGTCAATGAGAACATGGGACAAAATGAGATGAAGTAATTTAATTTAATAATGTGTGTATATATATAAATATAGTCAACAGAAAATACAGGTTTCGAGAGTGTGTGTAATCAGGGTGTGTGAGGCAATATGAAAATAAACCAACGAATGGGGCGGACTAGACATAAGTTCAAGGTTGAAAATAACGACAATAAGAATGATTGTAAAATAACGATGATATGGTGTAAAATTACAAGCACTATTGGTGAATGATTGTCAAATAATAATGAATATAATGAAGTGGAATGAACAGGATTTTGTAAATACGATAGCAAGTTAGAAAAGCACTATTTAAATCTAAGGTAATAAAATCATAAGAAAGGTCATGAAATCATAAAAGTCGAAAATGAACGTTTGTCAATGAAACAGAGGAATAGAAGAAGAAGAAAAGAAAATTGTGAAAGGAATTTATAGTGTTAATGCAGGATTTGTTGGCTTTATTGTAGGCCAAGGTAAACATAGAGGTTGAACATACTCCTTCTGTATGCAAAGAGATGGTCTTCTGGTATTAATTGCAACCGCTTCAGCTACTGATAGAAAACGTAGTCGAGCTCGTCTAGATAAATTACTAGGAACGCGATAAATAACCGAGAAGGCCTGGTCAAGTTTTATCGGGTGTCCAGTATCTACCAAGTGAGCTAAGATTGCACTATTTACACATTTGGTTACTCCTTTACTCAACCATACAGGTACATGTTCACGCGCGAGCATGGATAAAGCCCTCTGAGTACGGTCAATGTAACTAGCTCCACGTGAGCAGTTGAATTCATAGATACACATTGATGAGGCCATCTTTGGTAATTTATCCCTTACTTGCTGTGTGAGTACTGGTTTAGTTGAGAAGTTGAGTACCAGTTTAGCTGCAGGAAATGTTCTATCTACTGCTCTATTAAGTCGACATTTTAGAATGTCAGCTGCAATTTCCTCTTTATAACTTAACTTAAGATGCAAAGGTTTCTTGTTTACGGTATCCACCTTTGCCCTGTCTGTAGGTGTTGACATATACTTTTTTAGGAAGCTCTGTGGATATCCATTTTCTTGCAGTGTGAGTTTCAGTTTATGCATTTCTTCCATAATGCATTCCTCTGAGCATATGCGTTTTATTCCATAGCTAAGACACTTAACTAAGTTTCTTTTGTACTGAATCGGTGTGAAGCTATGGAAATGGGTGTACTGACCCGTTCAAGTTTTCTTTCTAAATAATTTCCTTTGTACATGTCCGTCTGTCTTCATGGTAAGGAGGACGTGTAGGAAAAGTAAACTGTTATTGTCTTCTTCTTCACATGTAAACTGAATAGTTGGGTGAACACTACTAACAGCATTCAGAAGCTCCCGTTTATTAAGATTTATATCACAAACGATAAAGGTATCATCTACGTATCGACAATAATAGTCAAACCCTTTAATCGTGTCTATAAGTGGACCATTTTCAAGCTTTGCCAGGAAAATATCCGCAAACATAGGGCCCAGAGGTGATTCCATGGCTACACCATCAACTTGTCTATAGAAACCATTATTGAGCATAAACTGAACATTCATAGTGCATTTCAATAATAATTCTTTGACTTTTTCGGATGGGATTCCTACATCTATGTTTCTTTCTATCAGCTGGTCACATATGTAGTTGACTGTTTCAAGCAGTGGGACGTTGGTGAATAATGATGCTACATCCAGTGACATCATTTTCTTTCCCTTTACATTCAGGCTTTTGGTGGTTTCCACAAAGCTAAATACTTCTTTTACACTGAATTTCACTAATTCGCGATGTGACGGTTCTAGTGCCTTTACCAACCACTTTGCTGTAGAATGATAAGGAGATTGACACATAAGATGGGACGTAGTGGTACTCCCGGCTTGTGGACTTTCGGTAAACCATAAAGTCTTGGTGTGTGCGTACCTGAGGGTTTCAATTCGTCGAGTGTATCCTTAGGAATCAGATTACTCTCAACTAATGATTTTAGTGTCTTAGTCATTTGGCGTTCGGTTGCCTCAGTTGTGTCTTTACGGCTGCTCAGCTTTTGAAATTTCGTATGGTCGCTTAGAATGATATTCATTTTGTCCAAATAATCGTTCTTATTCATGATAACTGTACCAGATCCTTTATCAGGTCTAGTTATCATCAGATTTTCGTCCTTTTTAAGGTCACGTAATGCCTCTCGGTGTTTCTTTGTAAGTAGACTGTTGGCAGGATGTTCGCTGTTCTTAAACTGGTAGCAGGAATCGATTAGGATACTTTTAAATCTTTCTAGCTCATACTTGGACGAAGGAGTTAGATCGCTTGTCTGGGCAAATAGGTTTTCAAATTGAACATCAGTCTCTAAATGATCAACCTAATTACATCTGTCACAGAATTTTAAACCGAGATGTAAGGCTTTAAGTTGTGTCTTATCTAAGCATACAGAGGAAAAATGGAAAACGTACCGGTTATAGTCGACTGGAAAATTAGTTTCAGTCGTTTCTGTATCTAGTCCTTTGGTTAATGATATCAATTTCTTGCTTTCTTGAGTTTTTAAAACTTCACTCAAAGTGTTCGAAAGACTGCATTTTATCAGCGTCTTTACCTAGAAGGACTGTATCATGCGCATATTTTAAGTCAACAAGACTATACCCCTGGTAACAAGTCAAATCCCTAAGTCATTGAAGTCAGTTAGAGTTAATTTTTGCTCATTTAACTGTTATACATTGGTAATATTTGTATTCCTTTTTCCTCTTTTTTATTTCAAGGTGTACTTTTATAATGTATATGTTGATAGACATTGGCACGGTGAAGATTTAAACATCAATAATGAGGCTTCTTCGTTTGCCAGTATTAAAGACTATGCATGGATATCAACAAATGAATTTAAAAACTTTATCAAGCATAAAAAACTTTTACAAACTTTAAAATCATTTGCTGTAGAGTATTAATTTTCTCTTTTAATTTACTCATTTTTACTATATTAAATGTTGTAAATAGTTCTTTATATATATATGTATATATATATATATTCAAATAAAGTAACTTTTGATTGATCAACACTTGTTTTGAGTGGGATAGTGTTAAATATTTAGTTGTAGTGTAACACGTACATTGGACACCTTTAAAGACGGTGTTATTAACGGGATTGATATTAATTATGAATTTTGTTATTATGTGTCCAACCTTCCCCCCTTTATTAGGCTTATTGTCATCGGTTAAGCAAGATTTAGAAGTACGTCGGCTGGGCGACGAAATCTCAGCACGGATACAGAAGGCTAGTTTCGCATATGCCAGTTTACGCCGTCTCTGGCGTAGGCGTGATATCCGGCTATCGACCAAAGGGCGGGTGTACTGCTCAGTAGTCCGCTCTGTCCTCCTTTATGGCTGTGAGACCTGGCCATTGAGAGTAGAGGACATGAAAAGGTTAGCTGTCTTTGATCATAGGTACCTGCGTTCTATTTCCCATGTGAAGTGGTATAATAGGCTGAGCAATATTGAGGTTAGGCATTGGTCGAGTGCTAGGTAGGTGTGAGGGGAAATCAGTCGACGAGGCTATGAAGCTACATCAACTGAGATGGTTAGGACGTGTGTTACGTATGCCTAGTCATCGCCTTCCTCGACAATGGGCAATGTTAGCTGACATAGGGTCAGGCTGGAAAAGAGCCAGTGATGGTCAAACCAAAACATGGCTTCATCAGTCAATGAAATTCGCAACAGTTAGTTTCAGCCACGTAGGAAGGTGTAGACTTCTTGGTTGGGGTCCTCGGGACGGTAAAAACCAATGGCTGGAGACAATTGGTGATATGGCTCAAAATCGTTCTCAATGGCTGGCGCAGATGCATCCACTCCTTGTGACTTATAATTTCCAATGAAACTATATTGTTCTTCGTTATTACTATTCCTTTTGTCTCATATCCCTGTCTACTGTCTCTATTATGCATTTCTTCTCTTGCTTTGTGTGCTACATGGAGTGTGGCGACTTGAACTGTTGCACATCGGTGCAAAGTTCTATGTCGAAAACAGACAGACAGACGTCGGCCGGGAATCGAACTCGAACTATGTGCGTAGTTCGCGAACATTCTATCACTGAACCAGCGGAAATGTAGCTCACTGATTTATACATTCCGTCCTGAGTTCGAATCCCGCTTCGCTAACTTTAATTTCAGCAACCAAGTTGACAATACAATCAGTCTTTACACAATAAATGTGACTCATTGCTTAGCATATAAAAATATCTGATTCGAGTGTGTGGTTACACTTAAAGAGAGTTATTAATTTCTCTTTTCGACTGCCAATAATATTAGCAGTAATTATACAACAGAATAATCTGTAAGACCAATTTTGTCGAAGTAAAAACAGTATAGAGTAAGACATGACTCTGAAAGCTGTGATTCAAAATATGAAAATTTATTGTCGAATACAATATATGTACAGTATTTACAATGATGTTCTAACATAATCTGGCTTCTTAGATTTTCCTGTCCTCTTCTTTGATCATGCTTTTCTCGCTATTCGTAATTTTGCTGAACGACTTCTTGGATTGGAGTCAATTTCAGAGTCTGAAGGAGTTAATGGTCCGGTGACCTTGTAACGAAAATATAAAAAAGTACAAAATGAATTAAATGTGATAACTAAATAACGTAAATGATACAGATAACTATATTGCTCCTGTCATGGAATTAATTCACCGACAATGCAAAAGTTGCTGGAAAAAACTACAGGCTGGAATAGTGGACGCCGAAGCTGAACACAGATGTGGTGATTAGACAATCGTTAAGCTACTCCATCAACGTATATACTCACCAGCTACGTGATTTCCATCCTCGCTGTACTTAAGTGAGAACACACCACGACAATATGAGACGGAAAGTACATTTAAAAAATCACCCAAAAATATCTATTGAGTCATAGAGAAAATTGAAGACAATTCAGCGAAGAAAATTTTTCTTTATCGACAAATATATACAACTGTATAGCCTCTGAAGATGATTTCGTCGACAAAGAAAGTTTTCTTTGCTGAATTTGTTTTATATTTACAAAAATAAACATTTATATTGCCAATGACGTAGGCGATAATTCAATAAAAGGATGTATCCATATATCATAGACAAAAGTGGATGTTGATTATATTCTATCTACTTGTGTGTGTGTGTTTTTTCTCCATTCATGTGCGTTCTGAGTTGGGCTTAAAAGCTTCGAATACTCAGCAGCGGTCGTGTTACTTTAATTTTACTGTGTGTGACTACTAACATCTCACCCAAGCTTTTCACAATCTTTCCTCCCATTTTAACACATTCACTATACCACCATCAAATGTGGTCTCCGTGTGTGTGACTGCCTGACTGAGTGGGTAAGTCGATGAGTGTGTACATGTGCCTGCGATACCTTCACGACCGTATGAATGTCTTCATGTTTGCATCAATGCGTCTGAGAGCATCCCTCCACAACACTCTATCCGTGTGACTGTGTTTCCCTGGAATTCAGCTTGTCTGTCGGTATCTTCCTGAGTGAGTGTGTGCCTTCGTGAGGGCGTGCGTGCGTGTTGGGAATGTTGGGGTGGGTGGGGGTGGAGACCGTGCTTGTGACATGTATTAAAAATTGAGTGTGAGAGGACATATGTGGGACTCTGTGGATCACGTTGAGCCAATGTGTTATTCGTGAATAGACAGGAAACATGTCACTCAATGATTCTCTCTCCCCCTATCTCACTCGCTAACTCACACACATACATGCATAAACATATACACACCTACACAAAGAGTGAGTCTGACTGGTGGTGATGAACGCTCACATTCGACGAACTAGTCTCCCACTGAAAGAGTCCTGCGAGTTGAGATTGTCGAAGGCATTCGTCACTGCCTGACACGAGTCGTGATCAGTGGGCAACTATCAGCTAGTAAACTAGGCAAGGTTAAGGAGTGTGTCGCCCTGGAGTCGAACTTGAGTCATCTGCATAGTTTGCGAGCATCCTAACATTGAACCACAGACGCATATCTACTTATGTTTAACAAGGGTTTCTGTGACAGATATATCTTTGGTTACAGGATTTCATCATCGGCTGACATTGGTTAGAGAACCATTGAAAAACCAGCTGGGAGTACTGGACAGCTGTTTCGTCCTAGTTTTGGACTCTTCATCAGTACGCACCAACCCAGGACCTTCTGGTTACAAGGCGAGCTCGTATACCATTAAGCTACTGGGACCCGATCCTATGGCCACATGAATTCTAACTTCTGCCAATTCACGATATAGCGCAACCGCTAGCCAATGTCTTCGGCGAGTATTTGTCCTCACACCCGACCTGCTGCACCCTACTGGTCACGAATTCCCACTGGAACCCCAGGTAACTACCTACCTGAATAGGGCCAGTCGCCAGTGAGTATCTCATTGATATTCACTATTATTATTATTATTGTTCCCTTGGGTTCCTAGTGCAACACAGGGCTTCAACTGCACGCCTTCACTTGCTTCTGTCTTGTGCTGTACTTTTCACTTGCATCCATGTTAATCCATACTGTTTCAGTTCCTCATCACACGATCTCCTCCATGTCACCCTTGGACGTCCCACTCGCTGCTTCCCTTTCGGGTTCCACTGGAGGGCCTGACGGCCTCCTCAGCGAGTGTCCAATCCATCTCCACTTTCTCTTGCATATTTGTTGGGCGATTGGTTCTTGTTTTGTTTGTTCCCATAGCTTCTTGTTTGTGATTTTTTCCGGCCATCTGATCTTCAGTATAGAACGAAGACAGTTGTTGATAAAGGTCTGCAACAGGCTGTTGGAAATATTCTTTGTGACCCGCCAAGTTTCTGATCCGTATTGAAGAACTGACTGACTTGACGTTTGTATTGAAAATCCGAATTTTGTTGTTGATGCTGAGTTGAATGACGAAGATTTCCAGATTGGTTTCAGGTGAATGAATGTGTTTCTCGCCTTGATATTCAAGTATTGGTTATATATATTTTTTTTTTTCAAAAAAGAATTCATAGAGAACAACGCAGCTGATGAATAGTGATCCAAGTATATGAACACACGAATAAGCTTGAAGCCGGCGATTAGAGCAAACCAGACTAATTTCGGAGGAAAATAGTATAATCTCTGAAAAAACGTTTAAAGAAGTGTAGTATGCGTAAGACCACTGAATTGTGATTCCTATCAATTAGTCATATACCGCTGCTGTCAGTGATGAACGTCCGGTCCTCCCTGACATAGTGGACTCCACCAGCTGCGACCTCTCTTCATAACTTTAGGACATTCATGCGGTAACCACTAATGAGTTGGAGACTGCTACTCAGACTTTTGTTGAAGTCTGGTACGGACGATTCGATGATGCTTTGAGGTTAACACTGGTGTTATTTGGTTGGTGGTGACTAACAGTGGAGTGCAGAACGCACGTTTCCTCCCGTATGGGACTCATCACCTGTATGTCCCTGCATCCACGGTGAGTGACAGTATTCTTCCACTGAGGCTGGAACCCAGTGTCCATCCTTTTAGACACCGAAGTATTATCCACTGTACCACGAATCCTAAATTGGACGACGAAATAATTATATTTCTTTGACAAAAAAAAACAACAGAAAATACAAAAAGAACTTACAAAACTCCATTTCACCATTTTATTTACATTACTAAATGATTCATTTTGATCAGTGTTCACATTCTCTTGATATTGGCATCTTTCAGAAGGATTTGTCACTTCAATATTTCGACTACGATACGATAAATACTTGGACACTGATAAGTGTTCACAATCATACTTAAATAACCATTTAACTAAACGATCTTCTAATGAATGAAATGATATAACAGCTAAATAACCACCGGGCTTTAGTAAATTATTAGCTAACTCTAGGCCAATGCATAATTCATTTAATTCATCATTGACAAATATACGTAAGGCTTGAAATACTCGTGTAGCAGGGTGAATTGAACTATAAATATGGAAAAAAAGAAGAAAAACAAATCTGTATTGTCAATCAACAAAAGATCAGTCTTCTACAATAAGAAGTACTTTTTTTGTCTTCATAGAACTACAATATGCTATTGTTTCTGCAATAAC